GTTTTTCCTCTCCACTGTCGCTACAAGCATGCTTAGTGTGAGGGATTGCATTCGAGTCAATGAGTCGACGCAATTAACTGTTTTTTTTTAGATAGAAAACTTTGAACCAATTTGACTGGATGATCTGGTGAACTGTAAAGTGCCTTGAGATGACATGTGTTGTTAATTGGCGCTATAGAAATGAACTGAATTGAATTGAATCACCCTCCATATGTAGATCAACCTCCTCCTATCTCTCATACCTTCTTAGAACGGCATGTTCTCTTGTTTTTCCTACTTCAAACTATACTGTTCCACGTAGGAAAAACAAGTGTCTGTTTTATTTGGTTTATTTTGGTTGAAATAATAAAAAAAAAAAAGTTTCACTGTGTCTCTATTCAGGGTGAGAATGTTGAAAAAACAAGGCTTGTTTTTGTGTTTTTGGGGATGTTTGGCTTACTCTGTTAGGGGGCCGTGGGCCTTGTTCCTCAGTTCTCTGTAGCCCCTCCAGTGGGGCATTTCGGTACGGATGGGGTGTCTGCCCTCCTGCCTTAAAACCTGCTCTATGAGCTCAGCACTGGCCACATTCACCACAATCAACGGGCCGTATTTAGACTTCCACAGGTTTCCGTAGATCTTCTTGTGCTCAATCTGGAAGCAAATAAAGGAAGTTCAAAGACTATTCATTGGGTTTTAGAAGTGGGACAGAAGTTAAAAAGTAAAAAATTCTGAAACACGTAAAATAAAGTCCTATTTTTCATCCAGGTCTTTCTCATTTCTAAAATTAAGGAAAAAGCTGTAGACTTCGATATTGCTGCTGATTGAGTCCAGCTGTGAGTCAGTGGGAAAAACATTACTGTTGTGAGAAATGTTTGAGGTTGGGTGAGCAGAACCACAGCTCTAATGTCTCTTCCTGTTTTCAGTATCATTGTCTGCTTTGTATTTTAACATGCAACTTTCTGTGTCTTGTTTTCTCAAAAAGGTAATACATAACAAGGAAGTAAAACATGTTACCCATATAAAGACATGTAGATTATGAGATATTCTCATTTACTCATCATGAGGTTTTGGATGATACAGGGGACAAAAACATCTCCTGTTCTTCAGGTTCAATTTACAATGGTTTCTAAGCCAAAACAAGGAGTTTTTCTATAAAGCCTCAAACTCAACGCTATTTCTGACATTTTAAATTGAAAAAGATTCCTGGACGGGAAGCGATACGTCTTCAAACTTGGAAAAAAAAGTCCAGTGGATTGTTGTTTTTTTTTAAACTATTTTGGAATAGCTTTGAATAATCTAAACCCATTTTAATCTAACCAGTGTTGACCTGGGATCTCAGGCTTGTGGTAATCTAAGATAGTTTAATCTGCTCAGGGATATCCACTGAAACAGAACCCACAACTGATAAGTCACTGGGACTTATTATCTTTGTTCATAGTTTTTAAATGATTTAAAAATTACGTTGTTGCAAGTTTAGCTTCTATGACCTAATATTCTGAGAATAAAGTTGAAAAATAACGACAATGAAATCATCATACAACAATGTGTTTCAGAGAGAAAGCCTTAAGCTCCGACCAGCTTTGACATTATTATAATTTGATGCTGCTGTGCTAAAAGATTTCCTTAATTGTCAAACAGATGCCAAAGCATGACTGCCCACATTCCTCGTTTTAGGGAAGAAAGTGCTTCTTGTAGGTGTTGTCATAAAATAGAATTTTATTCTAATAATATTACGACTTTATTTTCACAATATTACAACTTTATTCTCGTAATGTTACAACTATATTCCCTTAAATTTAAGACGTCATT